TTTTTGGAAAAAAGATATAAATGCAAGATAATTTCCTCTGAATCAAAACAAATGATAAAAAACTTACAATAAAAAAAACATGAGAATTAATATTAATAAAAAACAGCAGGTCTCCAAAAATATATTTTTCAATTAAATAAAAAAACGGCAGGTCTCCGAAAATATATTTTTTGTTATTTTCGGTGACAAATTTCGGATGTGATAAATATTGATCGACAAAAAAAAACGGCAGAAAAAAACGGCAAACTACACGATTATATAAACGCACATTTAATTTTTTCCAAATTCAGTAAAATTTAAAACTTTAAATTAAATACGAACAGAGTTAAAACACACCCCTTTATTTTTGCAAATGTAACGTAAATCACATTGTGAAAATCATTTCCATGTCTTTGGGATTTTAGGAAAATAACTACATTATGATTCCCACGATTAGTTTAAAATCTACCAATTTGTTAGTTATAAAAATAGTATCAAACGAAAGCTTCTATCGCTTATTACACTTGGATTCTTCATTCTCATTTAATTATTTATAATAAAATTTTTTAATTGTCGCCTATTTTTGATAGTTATATAAACTACTCTCATACCAATTTTTGGTAATCGTGAAGGAAGAACTTGAATTTGTCTTATTAATAAGTCGGAATCTTCTAAAAATAGACTTTTGAGAAAAAGGGGCTTGCTATTGTGTTTAAGAACAATATCTCAAAATATCACCATGCAAAGTGAGTAAAGTTTTTAGCAAAAAAAATCTTTTTATTATTAAGCAATCTACATATATAATGTAATCAAAAAAAAAAAATAAATAAAAAATGTTACTTCTATATGCAATTCTTCATTTTAGCTCAAAATTGCCTTTTTGGGAGTATTATTCGTTCTATTGAAGGTCCCATATATATCCTTTATGTTATTGTCATTTATTATTATATCAATTTTTATTTATTTGTACTTGAGGAACTTTTAATTTTAAATTAAACTCATCTTTACGGCCGGCGCTCGATATAGTGGAATTTTAACTAGTACAATTTTAGAAACTATCTGGATAAATTATCCAATCAATTTTTCTGAAGACAATCTCTAAATTTGTACTAGTTAAACTTCACTATATCGAGCGTCTTTGACTGTACTTTAATGTTAATATTAAGATAAAAATAAAAATAATTTTATCTTTTGACCATTCTCGTCGGATTTATCTAGTGATCAATGCCCTTTTGATAACTATTGAAAAAAAACTTTCTTTCTTCCCATTACTATAATGGATTCTCTCCTCTTTATTAATAAACAATTTATCGTATTGTAATGTTTTCTCAACCAATAAAAGAAATAAAATGATATGAATAGTATGATATTGTAATGAATCCTTGTATATACCTAAAAAGCTCATTCTAAAAAAAACTTGTTTCAATTGATAATATTAGATATCCACTTTACACAATATGTCCTGTGACTAATAAATTCAATCAACGCGCAGCATATTATTTACACATATCACACATGCGTAACATACTGCGCGCATCGATAAAATCAAAATGGATACCGACTGTGTTGAAGACGATGATGTCTGGAAATATTTACGAAAGGATTTAATTTCTAAACAATAGAGAATTATTATTCATCAATCTGAGTGGAGGTTAGAGGTAAGAGACATTTTAATGATTAGTAGAAAACAAGTAGGTGTATTTGTTGTATATGTATATATCTATATGATATATAATTATATATTTATGTATGATGGGTTCCTCTTGTAATTGAGCATTCACAAGAGTCAGGGTCGGAATCTAGATCATGTGAAGGTAGATCTGAGTAGTGTTTTTGCATGCATTCATATATACATTCAAAGAATTAATTATTTTTTTATTTTTTTATTTTTTCTACTAAAAAGATCCAACTTGCCAAATAAATAAAAGAGAGCAAGCATATGTTGCTTTGTTACGAGCAAAATCCCTCGCTTCTTTGCAAGACTTGAATTTCACCAGAAACAAAGTAATGGTTGATCCCAATGTCAAAATTGATTATGAAACGTAGGTGGAAAATAACTCCAATGGTGACAGTGAATTTGAAATTTATGGCCAAGAGATGGTGATAATGAAATTTATAATGAGGGTGGCAATGAAAATAGTGATCAAAGTAACTATGGATTTATTTGTACAGTTCCAAATTGTGGTAAATCTTTCCAACACAGTAGAGTTCATGACAAAAAAATTGATTATGAATATCCAGAATGTACAAAAGCACCTTATCAAAAAGGTCATTTACTATATACATCAAAATTATATGTTGCTAATTTTTTTTTAACTTCTTATCATTATTTTAATTTCTAATATTAATAAATATAATATAATTGATTGACATAGTCAATGAAATCACTGTTAAAAAACAATATTAATATACTAATACATGGCACATTCAAAAATTAGAATTATTAATTGGGATAGAAAGAATGCATTAATGTTGTATTTGAAGATGTATGAATCAACAATTTGAAAAAAATCTCTAAATTATCATAAAACGTTATGTACGTGTATAAAATATGTCCACATTTCTCTCCACACTCGATATTAATCAATTCATGCTGTTTACATTATAATAAAAATATTATTCTTTAGCATTAAAAAGCACAGAATTTGATTTTTAAGCATTGCAACTTTCAATTAATCTATTTATTTAATAATATATTAAAATCTGAACAATTTATTCATAATTATTATATAATATATAATAAAAAAACATAAACACATGATGATAATAAATGATTAAAATTAAATAATTATTAAAAAAATGCAAAAAAAAATTTAATTATTAATTTCAACTTTTAAAACTTCATTTCCAACCTCCTTTAAAACCTCCCTTAAAGCCCTTAAAACCACCCATTCCCTTAAAACCAAATCCCTTGTGTATGGCTTTTCCCACTAATAATCCAGCAGCCTAAAACAATAATAAACAATCAAATGATTAATAATAATGAAAAAAAACCAATCGTTCAATCAATCAATCAATCAATCAACCTTTAATAACTAACTACTTACAATACCACCTAATCCACCTAAAGCCAATCCACCAAGCTTCTTTGATTTGCCTTTTTTCGGTGGCTTTGATGATTGAGCATAAGATGAAGTGGGTGTTGAACTATATTGATTATAAGGGTTATAGGTATTAGGTTGAGGTGTATATGGCGTTGGAGTGTGTGAACTGCTACCGGGATAAGAAGCTGATTGTGATGATGATGATGATGATGATTGAGGTGGGTATCCACCTTGTGCAGGATAAGATGAACCGGTAGGTTTATGGTCGTGTTTTGATTCTGTGGAAGTAACAGCTGTTGGCATTTGTGCTGGGTAATCAAGATTTGCATAATATGAAGGTCTTGGGTCTTCCCAAGTACTTACTGGTGGTTCTTTTGTTGTATCTATTGATTTCAACAAAAGTTATTGATAAATATTAATGGTTTATATAAATTCAATAATAGTGATAATAATAATAATACTAACCAATATAAAAAAACCTTCCAGCATTAGGTTCCCACTATATAAAATTCAATTTATTTATTTAGTAACAAAAGGTATAAAACAAAAAAATGTTTGTTTTCAAATAACAATTAATTCAATTACTTGACTAGTCCAGCCGGGAGGAAAAGGTCTATCATCCATATTTTATTATAATCAAAGTGCTAAAATTACAATAACAATGTTATTTATTTATTTTTTCCTTCGTAAGAAAATTCGTTCAAGAAAATTCTTTAGAATATCTTTACTATATAAGGCGGTATTTTCTATTGGTGTAATATCCTACAATAAATAATGGTCACGTTATTTGGTTTCAATATTTTTACTATTAAAACTTTCTATTATTTTATTGCCATGTAGGTTAAAAGATCAGGAACACATTTATTTATGCATCCACATTTGAAATTTTCCAATTAACTCTTCTAAAAAAGCATAAACTGAATAGGAAGGGATTAATGACTTGTAATAAACTCTGTTCTTTGAAACATTCGTGTATAGCCAATATATCAAACGGTAATACGTATGTCGTTTTAATTCGGAATCTATTACTATGTGTGGAAAAACCAAAATTAATTTTTTTATTAGACTCATATTACATGCACACAACCGTCTTGTCGCGTGTGAACTTTTTTCTTTGATCAACAATTTTTCAAAAGTAAATTTTGTATGTCATTGATATAGTTATTGTCGCCCACCACATTGCTTCTGATTTTTTTTCATGCAAATGATTTGTGAATAAGTCTAGCTCAAATCAAGCATAAATGCAGCTAGCGTATAAATTTAAAAGGCTAGCTTGCAGTATCTATTGATGGATGATGACCTTCCTACTGGTCAACTATATACCACTTGGTGACACATTTAAAAGGAACAGATTTATCAAGGTAGAAATTAAATAAGATCGAGAAGATTACTCGTGGGCTATATTGCCAGTATATTTTACAAGCTATCATGTTGGATTGTATTCATCAGGGTTTCCAGAAATGCATATTGATGAATCTGAATTGTAAGAAGCAATTAGGCACTGTCAAACCTCGTTATTGTCCGTTATAACAAGGAGTTCGGTAACCCAAGTAATTATCAATGATCACGTGATATTTTTATTGTATAATATTAATACATTACAGAGTTATCGTTCCCTGTTTAGATTTTTAGAATCATATAATTTTCTTTATGCAATTGCATTTTTAATGCATAATTGCATCATTTGCATAATTGTACTACGAATTTTAATCTGTAAAACATCTGTTCGTACACAGATTGATCTCATTTACTTATTTATAACGCGGGCAATGATGATTATAATAATAGTGATAATGATAACGATAATGATAATGTGAACCTCTCATTTCAACAAAATTTGTTTCGACGAATTTTATATTTAATATTAAATCATACAATGAATAGTAAGCACCAATTGCATTATAATGAATTCAAATTATATAAATTTAAATTAATATTTGATCCAATAATAAAAAAAAAGATGAATGCAAACAAAAAATTTCTTAAATTTTTCATTAAAACCTTTGAAAATGTCTCAACAACAACGATCATCATTAAAAAAATGTATAAAATATTCGTTTTTTATTTTTTAATAAAGGGCGCATGATTTGCATAATCTATCAAGTCTTGCATGCATGTTTGTTGCCGCATAAAATCTAGGGTCCACACGTTTTTCAACAAATATTAATTGTCTGGAACTTGAATTAATGTTCAAAATTTTTATGAATCAGTATTTGTAACTAAAACCAATTCAATAATTTATTTGGTGATTTTTATCATAAATTTTTTATTTAAAATATTCTCGAACGATTTTAATTTATTCATCATGGATTTTAAGTTCCTGAATGATTTTATCATAAGTTTTATTTATTTATCATTTAAAATATTCTCATTTATTCTCAACCAGTGATGTTATATTATTCTGGTGTTACTAACTTTTATTGAATATATTTTTTTTAAAATGTCAAGAAAGCTTGACGGAAAACCAAATCATGCATTCCATGAATTTTCTTATACTGATAAAAATATAAGGATAGACTGACCCAGAGTAATTGTCTTGCAATATGTAAAGGATATGTAACAAGAGAATTCAAACAGAAGCTCAGCGTTTAAGAACAGTGAAAAGCACCTTAAAATAATCAAACAAAAATGAATTGCAAAATAGGTCAAAAAGATCTACTCGCACTATGGTTGTCTGCCAAAACCTCTCAATTGGAAGGGTTTTGACAGGTTACATACCAATTGTTTATTAGAATTTCAGTAGAGTTCGCATTTGAGGGTTTTGACAATCAGCAGAATTTCGGAAAGGTACACACTAATTGTTTATTAGAGTTTTGGCAGCCACTGAAAGGTTTTGGCAAGCAACCTTAACTCACACATACCAAATTAAATATAATATCACTATTTGCAATTAGAATAATATATGAGAATTTTGTTTTTTATATATGTATGTACATGTATTTCTATATTTATTGTTTTAGGTGGTATTGAGTATATAACATTGAATTTGTTACTTTTCAGAAACTTCTGTATCTGCTAGATCAATTAAATGTGTAAAAATTTTTTTTTATCACCATTATATCTGAATTCCTTGAATTACGTGTAACATTGTATCCCAATATATATATATACACTTTATGTAGTAAATATGTATGTATGTATATGCCAATGGAACAATTACAATGGAATACATGATTCCAGATTCCGAATTCCATTGCATAATTGTTCTAAACTAATTTTATTTAGTTAAAATTTATCTGCCAGGTCTACAAAGTTCTAATAATATTATTATTCATTATATATAACAAAATTTTTATTGACAAAAATTTTGTTCAGTATAACAAAAATCCATTATAATAACAAAGACCATTATAGCAAGGTTCGACTATATATCTGCTAACATTTTTGCATGGCACAGGATTTGTATTGATTGAATAAATAATTTCAATTTCCAGATTGGAAAAGTCAATGGTTCAGAAAAATTGATTATTTGATTCCAAGTAACAAATAAAAAGACATCCCATGAAAAAGTTAAATGATAAATATTTTCTAATGAGCTTTTTGTAAAAATTCATATATGAAGAAAAAGTAAATAAATGAATGTGAAAGCAATTGATTATTCAGAAGTAGGCAGTGCTTGCAGTTTTTTGACTAAAGTTTCAAAAGAAAAGTTTGTTGAACTGCATGAGGCTTCTCAAGCTCTATGAACAAGAGATATTGTTGATGGCCAGCTCATAGCAAAATGGATGGTGGGTGGTCTATAAGTGCTAGCAGATGACAAAGAAATCCAGGTCTAGTAAAGAACTTTCTATAACTGGGATCATAATACATTTTTTTAAAGTTTCAGGGCACATTTACTAAAAAATAATTGACAGTGTAGTACAAGATGTTTAAACGGTGAATTAATTAATGATGTATGACAAAACTTTTTGACATTTAGATTGATGTAAAGTACAATGTTACCATTGCCATTGTAGAACCTCGTTACAACAAGTGTAACCTAATTTTTGACATGTTCATTTTTGCTAAAAACATATTAATAATAATAAAATTCGTTATAATGAGGTTTGACCACCTTCACCATCGTTAATGTATAAAAAATATTTGTAGTATCTATAAACACCATTAGATCATAGTATTATGTGTGTTAACAAAAATTTTTTTTGAATTTTGAAATTCCGATTGGTTAATCTGGTTTATTTGTTATTATTATTATTATCATCATTGTTATCATGTTTATTTATTTGTATTTATTCTCTCTCTTCTTTTAAAACAATGCAGACAAATAAATAAAGTTAATACTTACTTGTATGGTCTTCAAAATAAAAATACTTTTCTGTAATTACGATCGCGGAATTATTTAAGAAAATTTTTTTACCCACGATTGTTTGGATCACATGATTCTGCATAAAAAATCGCAATAACTGCAAAAAATTAGGAAATAATAAATATAAATAAAATAAAATGGATATAATATTATTATTTTTTTTTTTTTGAATGATGAACAATTTAAAGTACAAATGACGAAATTATTTGAGATTTTTTAATTCGTTCAGATGTGGATTTTGATAATATTTACAAATATTCGTCACCCATATTATCTGTGATTGGCTGAAAATATATTTATCTAACAAAGAATCAGGATTTCAATAAAAGCTTAAAGAGCGTAAATTGGTAAGGATCACCTTCAGCAGAGATTTTCACATATATTTATTATTTTCGAAGTTCACGTACTATTTTAGAATATCTAATCATTCCTTCGCGTGTACTCTTATAGTATCTTGTTTAATTACGATTGTTTTTTTTCCTTTTTTTTTTTTTTTTTTTATTTACAAACAATGGTTTCTCGCAATTCTTCTCCAACATCAGCAACTACTACCACCCTACCTATTACTAATATTACTACTAATACTAACGACCTTACTGACGACACATCCTCTTCTTATATCACTAATGATAATAATAGTAATAATAATGGTAATAATGTGAATGGTGTTAATGAGGGTAGTAGTACTACTAATAACAATTCTATTAGTAGTACTAATAATAATAATACTATTAGTAGTAATATTAATAATGCTATTAGTAGTAATATTAATAAGAATGCTACTATTAGTAGTAATGTTAACAATGACGAACAAAATTTTCCATCAAATGATTCATGTGAATTTTTCGAAAGTGATTTATTAAATTTACAATTATCTTTTGATGCGTCATCTAACTGTCCTCAAACTTCCTCGAATCCCTCAACTCTTTCCATTCCTTCTCATACTCCTCCTCATCTTTCTTCTCGTCCCCACACTTTAGCTGATCATCGTCGTAATAATAACGATGATGACGATGATGGTGATGATGGTGATGATGATAATGTTAACGTTAATGTTAACTCATCATTAACACAGCATCAACAATTACAATTTAATCACCTCCAGAATTATCAACAACAACAACAACAACAACATAATTATCAATATCAATACCATCATCATAATTATCACCAACCCAAAAGACAAAGACAACGTCAAAATCAAAATCATTTCCCATATCACCTTCCTCATCAACCTCATCCAAATAATAATAATGGTTTTGAATATCAATTTGGCCCTCAATCATCACCATCGATATCACTGTCTTCTATGCAAAATATAAATACCGAATACATCAGTAATAGTGGTACGACCAACGCAAATATTATTTTACCTCCATTGTCAACTCCAATTCCTTCTCATTCAATTATAATACCATCTGCTTTAATGCCTGTAAGTAATCCTCGATGTTCTCCAATTCAAACCAATATTCCAAATGAATGTATTATTTCACCCTTATTATCTCCAACATCTCCACAACAGCAACATCAACAACCACAATATGATTCAAATTATTTGACCAAAATAATTGCAGCCGATGAAGAAAAACGTCAACGTAACACGCTGGCATCTGCTAGGTTTCGTATAAGGCGAAAAATGAAAGAGCAGGAATTGGAAAGAGTTGCAAAAGAAATGACAGAGAAGGCAAGATCGCTCGAGTGTAAAGTAAAAGAACTTGAAAAAGAAGTTAAATTACTAAAAGGTCTAATTGTTGAAATAGATTCTACTAGACTTGTAAAAACTAGAAATAGCAATAATAAAGAATTACTAAAGAAAGTTGATGATAAAGATGGCCAGAATGAGAACGGCAATTATACGATTCGTGATCATGAACGTAATAGCAATTATCATGATAATAGTGCTGGTGTTGGTTCTAGTTCTGGAACTAATCTCGGTTTTAGTATTAATGATACTGATGTTGGTGATGGTAGAAGTAATCAATAATCAAAATGATTGATTGATCGCACGATCTTTTTAATTTTATTTAACTTTTTTTTACAATATTCACATTCCCTAAATTTTTTTAAAAAATTTTTATTAATTACTAACCGATTTATACGATATATACATAATATAGCAATAAGATTTGATTTTATCTTTTGTTATATATTTATAAAATATTAATGTATGCATAATAATTTTGATGTAAATTAAGTTATTTTATCCTTATAATTTTCGTTATCTCGTCGGCTTTATTTTTTACATTATTCGAAGAAATTTTACTATCGATACACCCCCTTCTCCCGGTGGACAAAAATCAGAAGAAATAAAAATGACGTGGGAAGAAAACATATGTATTTATTTATGTCATTTATTTATATAGAAAATCAACTTTCGTAAAAAAATTTTTTTTTTTTGTATTTAAAATAAGAAAACATCATCAAATTAAGAAAAAATTGTGATGATTAATAGTCTCACTATTAAGATAAGTTTTAAATTGTTATTATCAACACATTCAAAAAATAAAAAATTTCCATATAGTAAAATAATAATAATTAATAATGGCTCTTTAAAAAAAAATATTTATAATTGAAATGTCATCAGCAGCTTATAGATCAAGAATTAACTCCAACGTTATAAATGAATTCGAATTCTGGTACAATTGCTAAAATTTGCATTCATGATTACAATTTTTAAACACATTTGGCTTGTAAACAAAAGGTTCCAACAAGAAAACATTTCCATAAAAAAATTCATTGATTATTCATGCGCGCTTTAATTATTCTAATACTATCACTGCCAATATTAGATAAATTTCTTATTTTTATTATTTTCTTTATTTTTACTATGTAGAAATTATATTATATGATGTTCACGTGTAAGTCACGGGGTGCATTTAGAGATGTGGTTGCGCACTTATGGAGAGTGCGCACTTATGGAGGATGCACTTATGGAGAGTGCATTTGTAAAGGGTTGACTGTATACATATTTATATATTCTCGAGTGAACCTGAAAACTTTTCTTGGTCAACCCCACAAAAATCACTTCATATTCATCAACCTTGGTTCCGTTATTTGTTTCAACTAATGATTTGATGTAACGAAATCAGTAAAAATAGTACACCATATTATTTGAATTTTTCCATTAACCTTACCTCTTTATTTATTTACACTAAAGAAAACAATATTAATAATATGTACAAATTTGGTTATATTAATCTATGTGGATTTGATTGGCTAATTTTAATATAAATATATCGAAAATTAAAAATAAAAAATGGAAGAAAATAATAACTTTAACTCAAATGATAATGGTGTTGTAATAAAAATTGATGAAAATGATAATTCCACAACAACGGACACAAATAAGATTATTGAGCTAATTGATCCACATAATGGATGTCATATTGATCAAATAAAATATAGTCCTAATTTAAAGTTTTTAGTAACTCATAGTAAGGAAGATTTATCTATTGTTGGATGGACAGTTGATCTTGACAAAGGAACTATCCAGCAAGATAAAGATAATTGCTTTAAATATTCTAAAGATGATTTTATAAATCATTCCCCTCTTATTAGAGATGTTTCTGATGACAAATATATAATTTTATCTAATGATTGGGGATCTTATAGTAAGCAATTATTAGCTAATTGATATATGTATTTTATTATTATAATGACTAAATAATTAAATCATTTAAATTTTTTAGAGTTCCTTAATTTTACAAAAAAAAAATACATTAACTTTATAATTAATGGTGAAATATATAATGGACATTTTAATGATGGGAAATTTATTACAAATAATGATTTATTAATAATAAAGTATTATGGTGATATCTGCCATTTATATAATTTTTCATATGTGAATGATGATGACAATGATGTAAATGATAAATTGGTTCATAAGTCAACATATTATTCTAATTATTACAGGTCTAGTATTTTTGTAAATTCTGGCAATTTTCTAATTAGTTCTTATAATTCATTTATATCACAATTGGAGGGTGTAACAATGTCATATCAAGATAATTATTATTTAGTATATCAAAGTTCAGCTATTATATTTAATAAGGACAAAACAACAATGGCACTATATTATAAGTATTATTCAACATTGATTATATATTCATTAAAAAAATAATATTACTATTTCTGCAAGTAGGTATTTATATATTCTTATTGTTTGCATGTTATGTTAATTTATAAATTTAATAAATATTATTATTCTATTTTCTAGCCCAATTGGAAAATAATATTGATATGAAAAAATATGATTTTATTTATCCAACAGATCAATTAGAATATTTATTAGTAATATATTATCATAAAAACACAAAAAGTTATAGTTATAAATTAATGGATCCTTATAATCTTGGCAATTTTATGGATATTACAGGATATTTTAATGAACATCTTTTAAAAAATACAAATGAAAATGAATGTGAATATGCAATTTTACCACATGATAAAATAGCCATAGCTATAGGCAATCAATTGTACATTAAAGAAATAATCAACAAAGAAAAATTAGATAATATCCAACGACAAATGCATTTAAAGAACAATCATTATTTACACATAATGCAAACATTACAAGAAATGGTTGAAGCATTTAAGTCATATGAAAGACCAGCAGAATTTACCATAGAAACCGGAAAGTTAATTAAATGGTCAATAGAATATGATTGTGAATTTAAAAATATTAATATAAAAGCACAAAAAATCAATAATGGAATGGAAGAAGAATCAACAATTGATGAATATGGTCTTAGAAGTGATGAAATATTTGAGTATTGTAAATTATTAAATAATGATAGTTTAATTTTATTAACAAGTCATTGGATATACATTCTATCAGTTAGCAATAAAAATCCCAAAATATTTACAAAGTTTGTTAAACATATATCCGACATGAAGGATATTATTAAATCAGCTATTGAGAATAATATGGTTGAAGGTTATTTATTTGATTTCAAAGATTTCTTGGGTTGTATAAATACTTCATATATTGATAAACATCAACTTTCCAGACAACCTTTTAAAGAAATGTTAGAGATGATCAATGATTTTTATTGTTTCAACAAATTTGGAAAGGAAATGTTAAAGATAGCATTAGATGATAATAGTAGTATTGTAGTAGAAGAAGTATTTGATTCTTGTCTTAGTCATTTTATAAAAGATACTGATTTAAATATTAGTTTATTGAATATAATTATATTAGAATTACCAAGACTAGAAAAAAATCATTATACTTTAATATCAAAATTCTTTAATCAGACTTCAATGATATTATTTCCATTTGTGGTAAAACTTGATAATATGGATACTTTTTATAATGCTATAGATATTGAAGGGTCAGTTTGTAAAGAAAAATGCTTTTGGGGTTTTTATTATAAATATAATTATATTAAAAAATTTATAACATTTATAAAATTTATAAATAAAAAATTAAATAATAAATCCAAAAAATCAGGTGTAAAATTAGCAATTCCATATCCTGGATTACTTACTTACAACAATGAATATTCATTTTGGAAAGAGTTATTCTATATGCCAACAAGTAGTAGATTTATTGAATTAAATAGTTTTAATAGTTTAGAATTGTGTAAGCATTGGAATATTCAAGCAATCTTCAATCACAAATGGGATAATTTTGGATTTAGATATTACATTGGGATTTGGATCTTTTATACAACATTTTTACTATGCTTTGTAATTGCTACCTCAATTTCACCAGATAAATTATCTGATGAAAAGAAACATTCACTATTTTTTGCTACAGTTATCATTGGATTGCTTCGCCTTAGTTTTGAAGTGAGACGATTCATTTGGAACCCTATAAGATATCTTGCTGATATCTGGAATTATTTTGGTATGATATTATTCCATTAATCATGGTTTATTAAAACTATCTTATATATAATATTTATTGATTACTATTTATAGATCTTGGTGCCTACTTGTTACCAGTCATCACTTCAATTTTATTGTTAAGTAATAATAACCCACCTATCCAGTTGATTTCATTATCAAATTTAATATTAGATTTAAGATTCATGTTATTTTTAAGAGGTTTAGATTATTTTGGAAGATATTTTGCAATAATATTAGGAGTTGCAAAAAAAGTTTTTTCATTTTTAATGATTTTATTTTTAATTGTTTTAAGCTTTGCACATGCAATCTACATGATATTGAAACCAATTCAGGAAGATTATACACTAGACAGCCCTGATTTCAGAGATAATGATCCCAATAATCCTTGGAATCTTGCTTCTAAATATTTTACATATTTTACAAGTGACAAATCATATAACCAGAATCCAATTATTGTACAACAACCTGACAGCAACACAAACATGTTTGCACATTTTCATACCTCAATGCTGGCAATGTATAATTTCCTCACAGGTAAAATTCTATATAATTTTTAAAAAAAAAATAGTGTAATAATAATTATACAATTGATTTTTTTAAATAGGGGATAATGGAGCATTTGGGTCATGGCAATTACAAGATGAACCATATTTGGCAATATTATTTATTGTATTTTCATTTATTGTTGTAATATACTTGATGAATTTATTCATTGGTCTTCTTGGCAATCAAATTGAAAAATACAACATAAATGAAGCATTTTTGGCTCAAAAGGCAAAAATCATAAGAGATATTGAATTATTTTATTTACTTCCTAATCAACGTCGTTGGAGAGAATGGTTTCCAGACATTTTGTAAATATACAAATTTTATTTTACCTTTATTTCTTTGATCAATAAGTGTATTATAATGTTTTTGATAATTTGATATATAGATGTTATTATGCACCAGTTGAAGATGTTCGAGAGAAAATTAAAGAAGTTGATAATAGTCAAGAAGATTCAGAATTTCTTCCATTTATCTCTGAGAAACTCAGACAATTGGCAAACATGCCCAAGCCAGATAAAAAAAACAAAATGGATCATGAAAATCTTAAAAATGATCTCAAGGAAATTGAAAACAAATTAAATCATAATAAACAGGAAATTAAAATGAATCACGAAAATCTTAAAAATGATCTCCTCAAGGAAATCGAAAACAAATTAAATCATAATAATGAACGGATATTGGCTGAGATTAAAAATTTAAAAAAATAATTATTTTTCTATTTAATTTTATTATTTATAAGTTTCTAGATTTTGATTGGCTAAATATAGTCATGTCGCGTAAAATTAATTAAATTTTTCAGATGGTACTAAGCTTGCCGGTATTATTATTACTGCTACTATCGTTATTATTACTATAATTATTATTACTATCATTTACTATTGTTATTATAATATCTCGCCTTTGATGGTTCGAATAAGGTTTATTCGAATTATTCGTTTTATTCGTTATGAAAGTTTATTCGAATAGAATGAATAGATTAATAGAACGAATGGAACGAATAGAACGAATAGAACGAACAGAACGAATAATAATAATTCGAATTAAAATAATAAGTATTACGAATAGAAACTCTATGACTTTTATCCTGCTATGATGTATTGTTTTTTTGTTTTTTGAGCAAATGCATGTAATGCAGGTGGGCCCATCTCGACTAAATGTCCATGCCGCTGAATTCTGCACTAAAATTCCAGACGTAAAAATGAATGTTAAGAAAAATTCGTTTTTAGTTGGCTAAGCCATTTAAAAATTCCTTGGCAGGAATCTGTTATATTCATTCCCATATTTGCTATTTAATAATATAATACATATGTGTGTGTTAATAATATGCCAATAACCAATATTATAAAAACATAAATATATGCTGCTGCTGCTGCTTCTGCTGCTTCTGCTGCTTGTGATTTCATAATTGGATAACTGATTCTTTTTGTTAAAAATCTATCTAAAAGTTATACAAGTAAAATAATCTTGATTGTAACTCTTTTCTCTAAATGTTAACAAGGGTGAATAAAAATTTCATTATTATTGGGAATTATTATCTATTACTAACGATATTAATTAATAAATTAAATAGTAAAAGAATTAATGAATGACTAATTTAATCTCCACTATAAATTTATTATCTTCTTTTTCTTCTATCAAAAAAAAGGATTTTAAATTCGGTAGAGATCTACAGAACGGTGTAATTATTGTACAACACAAAAAAAAAATTTTTGAAATTTTTTATAAAAGCTCATCTCAGTAGAAAGAAAACTTGTTAAATATACAAAGATTTTAAAGATATGGCTTCTAGACTCTTATGGTCCAGAGGTTGTTCAGGTAAGAATAGAAAAACCAGTTTTTAAAATAATTTATAAATTTTATTAACCATTCTACAATTTAGCCTCTCCTTTAAAACAATTGATAAATGTTCAACGTCCTGTCACTTTCATTGGGTATTATCATTATTATCATTATTATTATTTCATTTTATGCATTTATGTTTTTTTAGAAAAAAAATTAATATAATGATGAATTGGATTATGACCATGAATTTCTTTTAATTAATATAAAGAATTAGAAAATATTCCTCGTCTAAAAATGGTAAGAATTGTTAATAAACTTTTGAATCATTATTTATTCTCGAAAGGAAGAAAAACTAGGGAAATAAGGAGAAGGGGAATGATGATGGAATATAATTTCATTATAAATTTTATACTTATTACTTTATTATTGTCATTATGACTGATTGTTGTTGTTGTTAGAGAATCAAATTGTTGAACCAAAACAAAAGGCTTTAAGTATCATTGATTCACTTCCGGGTAATTCTTTGATTGCAAAGACAGGATACATTACTGTAGGAACAGGTCTTTTAACATTAGCAATATCCAAGGAGATTTATGTTCTGAATGAAGAAACACTCTTGTTACTATCATTTTCTACTATGTGTGCCATTATTTATAAAGCGCTCAAACAACCAGTTGCTGAATGGGCTTCTACACAAAAAGAAGTATGTGACCTACATATAAAATATATATACATATAATTTTTAAAACATTATTAACTAATAAACAAATAATTAATTATAATAAATAAAGCAAGTTAATAGTATTCTTCGTCAAGCAAGAGTAGACCATAAAACTGCTGTTGCAGAAAGAATTGAAACTGTTGGTCAAATAGGAAATCTTGTAGACGTTACCAAAACATTGTTTGCAATGTCTAAGGTAGGCACCTACCTATATTTATACATATTTATGCATGTATATATACACTTGCATCATTAGTATATTAATTTATTTGAATGTTATTGTTTAAAGGAAACAGCTAAATTAGAAGCTGAAGCTTTTGAATTGAAACAGAAGGCAGTGGCAGCATCAGAAATTAAAGCAGTTTTAGATTCATGGGTACGTTATGAAGCCTCATTACGTGAACGTGACCAGAAGGCGCTTGCAAATTATGTAATTGGAAAAATTACTGAACAATTAAAAGATCCTAAATTGGTAAAATGATTTATAAAAATATATAATTTATCTATTTACCATTATTTTTTTGTTTCATTTATTAATTTATTATAATTATTCTTCATCATTATTAGCAACATTCAATCTTAAATGAAGCAATATCTGAGGCAGAAAGTAAATACAAATAAATTAAGATTTATGATGAAAATAATTTTCTTTGGTTTTACTAACACACGCACATGTTTTTTTTTTACTAATTTAAAATAATAGGAGCTCTTTCATCAAAATCTGCGTGAGAATTAAATAATATATAACATATTATTTTTATTTGCATATATTATTATTATTATATAGAATTTATTAAATGAGTGAAACGATAATAATAATAAAAGATTTATATATTTAATATAATAATAAATTTAGATTCCTAATTTAGAAATTTGTTTAATCCATCCACGTTTCAACAATCTATTGATTGTTGGATCTCCTTTCCTGACCAATCTTTTATTTCCTTGTTTCAGTTCAATATCACCATCTTCTGTGCGAATAATTCCACCTTCTACCGCGACAAGAACCTTAACGAATGGTGTAAGTGGTGATGACGAATCTATAACTGTGGATAAGTCTAATAATTTAGGAGCGTTGCTTTTGAATCTTAAAATTATTTCATTGTATTTGTCACAAAAGTCTGTTTCTTTCTCATTTAAATTCAAATGTACGCTTTCTGGAATTTCGATTTCTTTGACAACGAATGGTTTAAGTTTTGTTAATCGTTGATAGTGATACAATTTTAAAATTTTTATATTACGTTCTTTCACTCCATTAAAAAGTTCCTCCAACACATTGACAACGTTACTATTTCTTTGAAATGTTCCTGGTTGAGACGCAAGATCTTGCCTCAGTTCTATTGTCTCTTGACATAATTGTTTGGTTTTTTCCAATTCATAGACAGCAATCTTATTATTATCTTTTTCTCTTTTCAATGCATCAATTAAGTGAAGAGACGCGTCTCCAAACATTTTTTTTTGAATTTTGCACATCACATGGCCAACACCAATTAAATATCCTTGGAATCATGTGATAAAGATGTTAAATTTTTTTTCGTGAAAATTGGGCGTGATTTCGTTACACACGCGTCATTTATATATTTATTTTTGTGACAATATGAGGTCAATAAAAATCCTTTATTGGTAAATAATTTTTTTAAAAAAAATTTCACGCATAATAATAGTATAGAATAACACGTATTTTTCTTTTTTGAAAAATTTTTTCTAAAATAAAGAAATATCACCTTTTTATAAAATTGTCAAAAATGACCACAGAACAAACAACCTCTTCTACTCAAAGTATAATATCTGAGGCCACCAGCTCTTCTTCTTCTCAAGTATATAAGGCAACCTATTCAGGTGTTCCTGTTTGGGAATTTCGGTAAGTGATAAATCTGTTTATTAATTAAATTCCCAATAAAATTACATGTGTTTTAATGATTATTAAATAATTTTATAGAGTGAAAGGTGTAGCTGTAATGCGTCGAAAAAATGATGACTGGCTTAACGCAACACAAATTTTAAAAGTTGCTGATTTTGACAAGCCACATAGAACAAGAATATTAGAACGTGATGTACAAAGAGGTGAGCATGAGAAAGTACAAGGAGGGTACGGTAAATATCAAGGTAATAAATCCATTTATTATTTTTCTTTTGCGCTTTATTATTATTGAAGATATTTATAATTTTCTTTTTATTTTTTTGTTTGTTTAATAAATTTATTTATTATTTTGTTATTTGTTTATTTATTTATATATTATTTATATATTTATATATTTAATTTATATTATCATACATATTGATTGATTGATTGACTGATTGATTAATTGATTGATTAAACAATAATTAACACATTAAATTTATTTATAATTATTAATTATAATATATATTGAATTTAGGGACATGGGTTCCTTATGATAAAGGGGTAGATTTAGCAGAACGATATAGGGTCAAAGAGTTATTACAACCATTAATAGATTTCAGACCTTCATTGGAAAGTCCTCCGCTAGCACCAAAACATATTACTGCTGCATCCAATAGGCCTAGAAAGCCACGTGAACCCAAACAACCTAAATCCAAACCCGCCAAACCTCGTTCTTCAAAGAAAGGCAAAGGAAAGGCAAACGAACCCGTTGAAGAATTGATATCTTTGGATACAGAACCACAAATTAACAATAATGATATTGTTAGTGCACCATCTACTACTACCATAACAGCTTCATCTGTTATATCATCACCTAGTAGACATTATCCAACTTCACCTGCTTACATAGTTGACACATCATCGGCAATAAACTACACAACAGAATCAGACGAGCATTCGAATAATGAATCAAATCCAAAAAGAAAAAGGACAAACTCATCAGATCATAATACCCGCCAAGCTAAAATGTCTAAATTGTCAATGGTAGAAACTGCATTTTCAGCATCCTATTCTTCCTCTTCCTCCTCCTCCTCATCTTCGGCTTCAACGATTACCGCCGCAAATCAATATGTTGAAATGTTGTTGGCATATTTCACATCAAACTCAAATTTAATTCCAAATTTTGTAATAAACCCGCCGCCTGACTTTGATGCTAATCTCATAATTGATGCACAAGGTCATACTTCACTTCATTGGGCTGCTGCAATGGCTAATATTGACATGGTAAATTTGTTGATCAAAGCAGGCGCTGATGCTGAAAGTAGTAATATTGTTGGTGAGACAGCACTTATGAGAAGTGTCATGTTTCCATATAATTATCAAAACAGAAGTTTCAAAAATATTATACAACTTTTGGCAAGAAGTATTGGCAGCGTTGATTCTCGTGATCAAACAGTGTTTCATCATATAGCAGTTTTTGCCAATAGCAGTAAGATACAAGAAGAACCTGCAAAATACTATTTGGAAATTTTAATTTCACAATTAACCCAACTCCCAGATGAAAAATACCGAAAAAGTATCTTAAATAGACAAAATGTTGATGGAGACACTGCTATTAATATTTTAGCAAAAGCAAAGAATAAACAGCTTGTCGAATTGATTTACCGTGCAGGTGGAGATCTTCATATTTGTAATAAAGAAAATAAAAATGCCGAACATTATTTCTGTGTGATAGATCCTTATCCACCAACAACAACAATAATAAATGAGCAGCAACAGCAACAACAAGATCCTCGTCTTAATCACCATTATCACCATTATCAGCAACATCAACATAATTCATCATTATCGAATATTAATAATAACAACATATTAACACAACCTGCTACTAATTCTTTTGGACAATTCATACTACAACCATCAGTTACTACTGTTACAGCAAACAATAAAGTTTATACTGCTACCCCTACAGTAGATTCATTTGTTCCTATAGGAAAACAAATTTTAGAGGATCTTCGTTCTCCTTATGTCGGTGAACTTGAGAGTAAGAATAATGAGATATCATTATGTAAAAATAAACTGAAATCAATTGAAATTGAGATCAAGGCAATTGATCATAAAGTTAAAGAAATGAAGGAAATGCATCAAAGATTACCAGAGAGAAAAGCGCATATAAAAAAACTGATGAATCTTATAAAAGAAAAAATAGAAAAGCATAGACAACAAAGATTGGATGATATATTAGCTGAGGAATTAAATAAGATATCATCAACTACAACATCAACCTCTTCATCTTCATCAAATAGTCTTGAACTAAATGAAAAGTATGGTTTATTTGTTTACTTGTATAATATGTATATGTTGTTAATGATGTTTACGTGGTTTTTTTTATTTTTTGACAAAATTTCTTTCTAGAAAAAAGGAAGAACTTAAGAAGCAACTAGATGAAGTGATTGGAGAAAGGAAAAAATTAATGGAAAAATTAATAAAAATGAGATCAACTCCAAGAGAATCCACTTTACCATATCGACAAGCCTTTAATAAAATTTTGAAGGATCGAATTTTCGTGAGTTTTTAAATTTTTTGAATATATATATTTTACAAAAATACTAACATCAATCTTGTTATTACTACTACTTATTACTGTTGCTAATGTTAACGTTAAAGGCTGAGTAATCGGGAAATCTTATATAACAAGCTGTTTGTTTATTTTTTATATTTTCTGTTACACCATGTATAATTATCACATGACCGGATTTAAAATGACGCGTCGAGTTTTTTTTTTTTAACCAATAATGTATAATTTATATTGTAATAATTATTATTTATTTATTTATTTTATTTATTCTATATTGTTTTTACAAAATTATAAATTGGAAAAGAATTAGGAACAAATTAATTTGTTTTTTATTGTTAAATATATATATATTTATATATATATGATTATTATTATACGATTATATATATCTTTTAAAAAGAACAAAAAGAAAGGATTGTAAAAAAATTAAGGCAATAAAATAATCAATTTGAATTGAATAAAAAAAGAAAGAAAAAATAATATATATAATTTTTTTTTGTTTGTGTTTGTGAAAATTTTTTTTTAAATTTAATAAAATATGAATATAGTATAGTAGGTTATGGAATAAATATATACATATTACAAAAAAAATTTTTTTTGTTTAGTTTGTGATTTTTATTGATAAAAAATTTGCGAATTGTAAAAAAAAAGGAAACTTAATGAATGAATGAAAAACATAAAAAAAAGCGAGAGAAAATAATAATATAAAAATGAACTTGTTAACGAAATTATAATTATACAAAAATAAACTTAATGCAAATAAGGTAAAAAAAATGCAAAATGCAAAATTTAAAATAAAAAAATAAATGGATTGTTATAAAAAATACAAAAAAGTATATGCGTGTGTGTATGTTATATAATGTATGATATAAGAAATAAATGAATGATATAAATAAATGCACGTTGTCGTAAATAAATTAAAAATCATATAATGATTAATGATAATAAATAAATAATTATATACTATACAAAAAAAAAATAATGATATAATTAATATTAATAATTAATTGATTTTATTGCCCTAATTTTTTTTTCTCAAAAAAACAAAATTCTTTTTTTCCACTGCACTCATCAGAACTGCCCGCAGTGTAAGTATTATTTTTGATATGTGAGTGATATAATGATGATAATATATATATTTATATTTAACAAAATTAAAATGATAATGTCTATGTTGTTAATAATTGCTTTAAAAGAAAAGAAAAAACTTTGATCATCTATATAAAAAAATGAAAAAGTCGATTATTATTATGAATGTGATATGAATATGAGAAACGAAATAGTTATATTATTTATCATCAACTATTTCGCCAGCTATTTCATCTTTCCAATTTTCCAAAACTGTTTGTGTGCATCAAAAAAAATATTTACAAAAAAACTTAAAAAAAAATTTATGTGTAAGTGTGTGTGTGTTTATGGATTTTAATTTTTTTGGTTCTGTTAATTCTGTTTGTTTTGATTTTAAAAATCAATAGTACCACCATTATCAACAATTTCCAACATCTGTTCAACCTGTAACCTGGCTCTTGCCAATGCCTCTCTTGCAGCGGAGAAATTTGTACCGGTACTAGGGGTTGAAGCACCTGATCTTATATCACCACGATATGAAGTTATCGAAGATACTGAAGATGCAGAAGATGGCTTTTTATGACCTTTACTTTTACTGGCATTAAACCCAGGTGTACTAGGAGCTGAATTGCTTTTATTATAACTACTTTTATTATTACTACCAACCATAATATTACTTTTTGGATTTCTTGATGATGGTGTAGCTCTACCGTTAATATTATTTGAAGATGGTGTAGCTCTACCATTAATATTATTATTTGAAGTAGGTAACCTTTTACTATTCGTGCTACCAGCTGGTAATTTTGTGTTTTTCGTACCACCACTGCTGCCTCTACTGGTGGTGGTGGTGGTGGTTTTACTTGTACGTGTTTTGGTTGTAGTGGTAGTAGTTTTTGCGATATTTGAAATATTATAATCACGTCGACTAAACACACTCGTCATTTGATCAGTTAAACTTTTAAGTGTAGCATTGTCAGCTTCCTTTAAAATATCAGTTAATATCGCAGATTCTTCTTCTATCGATGTAGCATGACTGCTAACACTGGTTGCACGTGATGGCGGTCGAGAAGAATATGTCGGTGACATTGTAGGAGATGAGATCATACGATGATGACTATATTTCTTGTTATTGTATGAATCACGTGTAGGACTTGTTGATCTTGGTGTCGGCGTTGAGTATAACGAGTTGTAGGAACGGGGTGTTGAAGATGCAGAATGCCTTGAACTATTGTTATTGTATGCATTGTAAGGATCACCGTCACCGACGACACCATTATTGCTAATATAACCTTTACTACTAACGTAAGGTTGTTGATGTTTACTACTTTTATTAGCAACATCATCATAATAATATCCATCATCCTCAGGATGAAATTTATTTCTAGATGGACTCAACGGACTCGATACATTTGTTAAATGATTACTATTATTACTATTAGAATAATGATGACGTTGTGGTTGTTGCTGTTGTTGTTGTTGTTGTTGTTGTTGTTGTTGAAGGTAAGCATCTTTTTCGTGATCCCAAATTTTTGGTGGTAATGGAACAGTAACGTTAGCTTTATTAGAGGCCAAAACATTTGTGTATAATTGATCCTTGTAAATTTGAGGCTCAGTTACAGGTGATGGTGATGGATTTTTCTTCCATTTCAAATCGCTTGCTTCATAATAATTTGGACTTACAGGGGTGCTTGGTGTTGATACAGAACTATTAGAACTGAAACTATTCCTGTGACGAAATGCATCCAAGTGAGAAGGTGGTGAGGGTTGATTACGATGCTGTTGTTGAAGTTGAATAAGATGATGGTCTTCATAAATTGAACTTCTATTTGATGAAGTGTATGAAGTATCTCTTGAATGACCAATATTGCGTTGAAGATCAATGCTATTGTTAGTAATATTATGTTTGTATTGATCTTTTTCACGTCCATTGGCTTCAAAATACTCATCTGACGGATATTTGTTGTTATTGCTATGAGGATAAGGGCGAGGAGGATCAACAACATCACGTTGCGATTTTTCACGATATTTCCTATCATCATCAATATAATCTTTTCTATTATTAATATTATGATGATCAACAACATCGCCATAATAACCATTATTATTATTTTCACGATATTCTTTTCTATTATCATCATAAGGTAATGATGATGAATCATGTCTATTATATTTTTTATTATTTTCAACATAATACTCATCAAATACACGATTCTTTTCATGGATTTTTCTATTACTATTATTATTATTGTTATCGTAATAAGAATAATTAAGATCATTGTAATAACGAGTATCATCACTAAAAATTTCATGTACACCACCGTTATGGTATGGTTTATCATTAGGGACTCCAGCTGCTATGATTGATGCCGAAGGTATATGATCTTTGGAATGGTATCTGCCACTTCTACTAGTAACGATATTATCATCTTCGTAATAATGATTTGATGAGGAATGATGATGATTATGATCATGTTCCCTAAATCCAGCAGAAGTAGTGGGCCTTTTCGGTAATTGTCTAATATTAGCAGAAGAATCGATAGCATATCCGTCACCATTATCATACCCATCATAACCATTGGCAGCAACATTATTAGAAATAGAAGATTGTTGTTTATTAGGGTCACGCAAAGAGGATTTATTACTGACATCTACGTTTTCTAACCATTTAAGAGTAGCGGGTAATGAAGGAGCAGACCAAGAGCCTCTTCTTCTACCATGATTCGTTCTATTTGAAGTCAAATCGATTGATTCTTTATTGTTGAGATAAGCGTCTTCTCTTGACGCAGTACCATACTCATTCCAATTAACAAAATTTCTTTTGTATTCTGATTCCAAGGGGTCTGATAAATCTTGAGCAGTTTCTGATGTTTTCAATTGGTCGTGAAGTGAATACATTGAATAAGATCTTATTTTTTTTGAGAGACGATCAGCTTCCAATGCGATAATTTTTTTGGTTTGTGGATCAAATTTTGACTATATAAGTAAATAAAGAGGAAATAAATAGCATACATATATATATTTGTACGCATATATATATGTAATAAATGTATGTATAAAAAATATTATTATTAATAAAAATTTCAAAAAATTTTTTTTTTAAATAAAAAAAAAAGAAAAGAAAAAATTCGTTACCTCTACAGTATCGGCTTTTCTCAAATCATTTTTCCATTTATTATCATTGTTGTTGTTATTGTTGTTATACGGAATTCTTTCAAGTTCTTCTATTTCAGTTACAAAAGCACCATTGTGTTTAACATCAATGTGGCTGTTATCAGGTAATAGTGCAATATCATTTAATAAAGATGGAGTAGATTTAGAGGTAAGTCTCAATTTTGATAAATCATTACTAATATTATTAATTGATGATATAGGTGGTGGTATAGGTGAAGGCGGTATTGGAGAGGGTGGTATAGGCGAAGGTGGTATCGGAGTAGTACTTGTTGAAGATATTAAATTAGTGTTGTTGTTATTATTATCTCTCCAGGTAAATTCTCGTTGATATTCAGATTTTGTAAATTCTTTTTGTTTAACTTTATTAACCATTGGTAGTTTCCAAGAGTAAGAACGTTGATATTCTGTAGCTTTTATACCTGACAAATCAGTGGGAATATTTGAAGAGGAAACCGCCGCTGGTTGCATATCGTTATTATTACTAACATTATTATTATTATTATTATTATTATTATTATTATTATTATTATTATTATTACTAGTTATTTCTGTAGTCATTTTTTTATTTTTTTAAAAAAAATGACAATGTTGTTGTGTTATTAATTATAATTAAAATATTTCCTTCCTTTTTTTTTTAGAAAAAAATTATATTTATAAATTTAAAATAAATTAAATTTTCATTCTCTATTTTGAATTTGAAATGTTGTTATATTATATATTTAATAAAATATATAAAAAAATGTCGGGAGAAGGAAATAAAAAAAATCTCCCTTTTTTTTAAATTGTAGTCACGATGATTTTATTTTAATAAAAAAATAAAATTTACGAAAGAAAATTAATTGAACGGTCAAAGGAAAAAAAAAAGAAAGAAAAAAATTTTTTTTTGATTTTGTATTTTATATTTATAGATGTTGTATATATATATTTATATATTAATATATATATATATATTAAATTAAATTAATTATATGTATATATATATATAAATGTTCTATTCTATTTATATTGATTGTTATATTATGTATAATTTATATAGTTTATATAATATTTTTTGAAGAATCTGCCTGATATTAATTATAGTAATAAAGTAGGGGTGGTGTAAGAATGTTTATTATGAATATGTAAAGAAGAAAGGGGATTTTGTTAAATATAAATATTAAAAATACTGAACAGAAAAATTAGGGGCCTTCTTCTTTATAAGAAAAGACAATTGCAATGTAGTGTTAATGCATATATATAAATATGGTTAATTAAGATTGAATTAGTATTGATCTTTTTAGAGTTTTTTTAGAGTTAAATAAATGCTGAGCTCAAAATTAAGTGAGAGTTGTTATTTGTTAGGGGGTTTAAAGAATGGGTGGATGATGATGATGACTACAACGATGATGATAATAGTAAGTAAAAAAATATCACTATGTAAGCATAAATGTGAAAGTGAACTGAGAGAGATGTTTATTATTATTATTATAATAATAAAAAAATTAATAATAATAAATTAAATTAAATGAAAAAATTAAAAAAATACTGATAAAAGAAAATTTGTAGAGAAGAGAAAAGCAAGTATTAATTAATTAATAGTATTAGGACAGGCATCAAATTAATATATGATGCTTCTTAATTTAGTAAAAATATTAAAAAAAAGTACAATAGAGGAAAAAATTCTTTTTGTTTTACAAAATAATAATAAATATAAATATGAATAAATATGAATAAATAATAAATACCTGGAATTATAAAAAAGAAGTACAATTTTATATCTTAATTACACAAATAAATTTTAATATTAAGCTGTATATTATTAATTAGTGCGTGATTTGACGATTAAAGTGTATATAGTTTAATTAGTTGATTGCTTGCTACGTAGGCAACAATTATTATTACTTAATCTAGAGCTTAATTTCCAATATTTCCATTTTTATTAAAAATAATAGACTTTCTTCCTCTTTTTCTAACCTTTCATACTTCATATTACTATACCACTATACTAAAAATCAATCAAAAACAATGATCTTAATGACATCATCAATATCATTCTCCTTTATAGGAAATGACATTGTCTATCCATGAACCATTATCTTCTACCAAATTTTATTGAAAACATAAATATTCACATGAGATGTCATTCTGGTTGTACAAGTATATTTTTGGAAACAGCATAATGATTTTTATTTAATGATGTATGTACAGCGTAGATCATTATCCTTATTTCATTCTCTTCTTTCTTCTTCATTCAAACTCGCTTTGGCTGTTAATTAATTAATTAATTTTGGTATTGAACTTATTTTAAATTTTAAAATAGTAAGGACAATAAATTTAGATTCAAGTTTATCCTTGTTAAGTTATTATATAATCTCATGTAATCTATTATTTCCTTTGATATTTACAATAATTGATTCTATTTTTATATTAATTTATAAACAAAAATGTAAAAAAGATCAATTAAACGTCTTAAAAAAGTGACGGTTATGATTATGATAATAACAATGCTTCATCATGCGTGTTTTCAATTTCTAACGGATAATAACACATAATCAATTAAGTAATTAATTAATTAATTAATGAAGAAATATTTACCCAACAACTTTAATATTTTTTCTTTGTTTAAAATCTTTTTTCTTTTTTTGGAAAAAAAGAGCATACATATTCACATTCATATTCATTATCCAAAAAAAAAATTTTTATTTTTTTTTCATTTTAATTCCTTGTTATTATCATTGACTCATTAAAAAATATTCACATTACATTACATACATACCAGTTACATATTGCCGTTAACATGTTTTCCATCCATTGCTATCACTCACTATTACTCTTTTCCTATTTCGCTTTTTACCCTGTTTATGTAGATTCTTCATTTATTTAAATTTTAAATTTTATTTTGACGTATATCTATATTCTACATATATATATATATATATATCTTTATATGTATTGCACTCGGGTATTGGCAATTGCTATGAGACAAAACAAGATAACAAAATAACTCAATCGTGTAACTTAAAAAAGGAAAACTACGAAAAAAAAAATTTCCGCCAAATAATTAAATAAAATATATAATTAATAGTAATAATCGGAGAATTTTTAAATGGGAATACGTAAAGTTTTTTTTTATTCATGTAAAGTGGTGATTGATGCTTAATTTTTAATTTTCAACCACACAAATTCACGAAAATTCATGGAACGATTGAAATTAACGCTAGTAACAGAGATCTGTATTGAAGAATAGGTTAAATTTTATATTGTTTTTTTTTGCTTGATTATTTATACAACAAACAAACAATAACAAGTACATGTCAAATTATAAACTATTGGCTTTACTATATTTGTAAATTTCTTAATTATCTAATCAACCCTCTCCCCAATTTTCCTAACCAAATTTCACATTTCCTCTCTCCGCTTTTATCTCAGCCTACCTACTTGCAAACTTAATTTTTAATGTTTTTTAGATTTCCTATCTCCTATTTTTCCACGTGACCCTCATATCAATCAATCATTTTTTGTACTACAGATTTTCGGTGTAACAATACACAAATATTTATTTGTAAACAAACCTCCCGCCAACTAAAGTGAATGTGTTATAGTTAGCATTAGTATTGGACAATGATGAATGATCATCTCCCAAAAGCATTATTTTAAAGGCTAAAAAAAAATTTTTTATTTCAATGATTCCTTATATGGGAGAAATATTTTATTTGTTTTTTTTTATCATTTTATTAGTTGGTGAGACAAAAGAATTACTACTATCATATATAAATATACGGATGGGCTGAGCTTTTTATTTTTTTATTATCAGAGGTAGGTTGGTTAGTTTGCCAGCCATTAAAAAAATACAAAAAAGCCTTAGATATTTAGATATTTAAATAAACAAAATAGTAGTACAGGATTTTACTCTTCTATCTCCTTCCAATTAATTTTACATCATCTCCTTCTTCTTCTTCTGATCAGATTAATCAACTTAATCGATTAATTTGGATATTCTCTTTCAAACCAATCAATCACTTCAATCTGATTCAAAATTCAAAAACCTTATAATTCAAAAATTTTGCGCCAGTGCGCGTGTTATACCATTTCGTATATTGATGTGATAATGATTTTATATAACGAATGTTGTGTGTTATATATGTATATGTGATGTATGCAATGTATGCAAATGTACGGAATTTGGTTTCTTTTTAATTTTTCTATAATTATATAATAAAAAAACAATAACATTTTTATTGCATAAATATTAATATAAAAATAATTATTTCTATTTACTTTGCTTTTATTATACAAACTACATATGATATAGATTCATACATAATACCTAAAATCTAATTACCCAATATCTAATGAAAAAAATATATTTTTAATATGCACCATTTTAGATATTAAAATTTCCTTATTTAATATAATTTTTTAAAAATGAATGTTTCCTTGAATGTGTTGGGTAAGTAGTAGATTACTTGGACATTTTCTTTCTCTTCAACAATTTCCTCCTCTCCTCCATTTTTTCCTGTTCATCATCTTCCATTTTACCAAGCTTCGAGCTAATTGATTCCTCTTGTAATACATCCATAACGGAAGCTTCCATCACAGAATCGTCGTCGTCATCATCATCTTCACCACCATAAGGATGGCTTGGCATAACTGGTCTACTATTTGGACGTCGCATTAGTTTTTGAATAATAGACGAAGAGTTGGATAAAATGGTTTCCTCTGACAATTTAGTAAGGTCAATATCATCATCATCATCATCAAAAAAGTATTTTTTTGCTACACGTGATGACGATGATGATTTTTCATTAACACTTCCAGATCTATTTGGTTTGCTAGAAGGCATACTTGAAGATATTTTTCGTGATGATCCTGTATTTTTAGTAATAACGCCTCCAGGCCCATAAGAATATTTACAAGCAGTAGTGCTAGATGTTGCTCGTGGTGATTCTTTATTTCCAATACCAACGCCATTTAGTTTTTTGCTAGGAAATGCAGTGGTACTTTGCGATATTCCAGTATTCTTACTAATAACACCTCCAGGCCCGTATGAATATTTACCAGTGGTACTAGTAGGTGTTGTTTGTAATGATTTTGTGTTCCCACCATTTAATTTTTTACTAGATGAGGCAGTAGTTTGTGATAATCCTGTATTCCTAACACTGCCAGATCCATTTATTTTACCAGGAGAAGAAGAAATAGATGTTGTGAACATTGGTCCTGTATTCCTAGCCCTAACGCTTTCAGATCCGCTTAATTTAATAGGGGAAGCAATATTTCGTGATAATCCTGCATTTTTAAAATCAACTCTTCCAGATCCGTTTGATGGTCTTGTGTTTACAACAGTTGGTCTTTTTGATATTGATGAAGCAGTTCTCACAGTTGTAGTTTGAGGTTTCATTGATGACAATGGTCTTTGTGTAATCATTTTACCTCCCGAGAGTTTAGCTGAGGGTTTGATTTCTTCATTAATTTTGGGATCCATTCTCCCAAATTTGTGAGATTTTGGCCTTTCACTATGATCAGGAGATAGTGGCCGTTTTGAGCCTTTTCTGGAAGGATCTGAGGAAGTGGCTGACTTTGGAATAATTGTCGAGGATGAATCATTATTTACAGATGGTTCTTTAGACTCAGCCTTATTGTTATTCTTACTAGCTCCAAGTAACTTTAATTGTCTGGTAACGTCCGTTTCAACAGCTAAAACATCATCAAAAATCGATATAACTGGAGTGGGTATTTTATTGGGTATAATAATTGTTTCAATTTTATTATTGCTAATGTTACTATTGATTCGCTTTGATGACGATGATGATGATGACGACGATGACGACGATTCCTTTCGTTTAGTTGTGATTTTTTTCAAATTAGATGAGCTTGGGTCGTTGTTAATGTTATAATTTGACTTTGGGTTCATTTCTTTTTGTTTCCCCTTATTATCAGAAATTGGTGGTATCGTTATTGCATGAGATATTTTAGATTCAATTTTATTATTATTGTTTTTTGACTTGTTTTGAGCTTCGAATAACTTTGATTGTCTTGTTATGCCAGCTTCGACATCACCAAAAGGTGATTTATCATGAACAGGTACTGTTTTACGAGAAGGTGTGATGTTGATGTTTTTGTCGATAGGCTTTGATGAAGATGACGATGACGATGACGATGATAATTCCCTTTGTTTAAATGTGGCTTTTTTTAAATTAGATGAGTTGATGTTATTATTCCCTTTAGTATTAGTATCAGGAATTGCATGAGGTATTTTAGGTTCAGTTTTACCGTTATTGTTTTTTGGTTTACTTTGAGTTTCTAATAACTTTGATTGTCTTGTTACTCCAGCTTCGACAGGTAAAACATCACTAAAAGATGGTTTACTATTAACGGGTACTATTTTATGAGAAGTTATTATGTTAATGTTTTTGTTGGTAGGCCTTGATGATGATGACGATGACGATGATTCCCTTTGTTTAAATGTGGCTTTTTTCAAATTGAGTGAGTTTGAGTTATTGTTAATGTTATTATTTGATTTTGATTGGTTTATTCCTTTTTGTTTCGCTTTATTATCAGAGATTGGTGGTGAAGATGTTGCATGAGGTATTTTGTTAGATTCAGTTTTATTACTGCTGCCTTTTGGCTTATTTTGATCTCCAAGTAACTTTAATTGTCTGGTAACGTCAGTTTCGACTGCCAAAACATCATCAAAAAAGCATGTATTTTGAGCGGGTATTATTTTACGAGGAATTATAACGAATCTTTCTGTTGGATTTGTTTTTGGTGTATTTTTCTTGGATGCACTCATTTGTTATATGAATTATTAATAAATGTTGGTAGTTGCAAGAATTTAAACATCAGTTAGCCTATTAAGTTTTAAAAAAAATAAAATCAAAAAGAAGAAATTATGTTTCTCTCTTTTAAAATGTAAGCAAAGGTTGTTAAATTTTTTAGGAAAAAATTTTTTTTTGAAAATGATGAAAATGAATGACACACATAAACTTGTAACTAGTTCATTAATGAAAATCTTGCCACAAATAGGATATTTCGGAAATTATATTATAGAGGTACGAACATTATTATTATCAAAATGACCTCATTCAAGTATCGGCAGAAGAATCAACCTTACCTTACTTTTCGAGTTTTTGACCCATCTATTAATTAAAAAGTCCGTGCTGTCGTCAGCCTCTCAACTTTCCGTCTCGAAATCCTCCGATAGATGGGGCCGGTTATGATCTCGAGTATAAATTTTCTCATTTAACAATGTCACGTGATAAAACTCTCCTTGTGGCTACACACAAATCACATCATATTGGGCTGAATAGCCTTGCTTCCAAAGTTATTCAACTCGTAAATTCAATGTGAAGATGACCATAATAATATCCATAATAAAATTAAAATAAAATCGTGCGTCGAATAAATTAAAATATCAAACAGAAGATATCAAAGAAATCTAGAAGGTTTTCAACAATGATAAGACGAACAATTATAACTACATAATAATAATAAATAAATAAATGCGCTGTGTAATAGCTACTGCGCCATACGCCAATGTTATGTAATAAATTTTTTTTCATTTTTAATGCTCGAGAAAAAAGTACTTGTGAAATTTACCAAGAAAAGTAATAACCAATAAAAGGGCTATTCGAATAAATGATTTACTGCCTAACTTAATATAGGCGAGCATATGTATATGATCGTAAAGATAAAGAAAGAATGCTTCTTTGTGTTCATTATTCAATTGTCCGGATCCTCGTTAGTATCACGATCACATTATATTTGTGATGTTAAACAATTTTGTAGGACTTTAGGTTTTAAAAGCCACAGGACAAGTGTTTTGAGCTTCTAATCAGAAACAGGGTTTATGATTGTTATGCCTTATTAAATGATTAATGTGTATTTTGCCTTTAGACTTTTGGGACTAAATTAACAAATACTTGATTTTTAAAATCAAAATAAAGAGGAAGGAAGGAAATGTATCGTATATACAACATATGAGGCTTTGATAGCTAGATAATGTTGAGATATCGCAACTATACACATAATAAGAATTTCCATTTATATATAGTATATATATTAATTTGAATCAAAAAACCCCAATTTTGGGACACAAAGTGTATTTTAACTTTTCTTACCTTGCCACTTAAATTCGCGCTTTTTAAGATTTTGTTTCACAAATAAATTCGCTATACGCTAGTTAATTTTAGCACAAGATAAGACCGGGAAAACTTTTAATACTCTGGTAAAATATTAATATATTAATATTAGGATTAATATCGTTGAAATTTTCCAAAGAGTCACTTTTCCGGATTACACAGTATCTAAAATGTTAACACTTTAACCCTTTTTTTTTAAACAGATAAAGTGATTCTGCACATTTGCCTTCATTAGAAACTAGTATAACGTAATTTATCATTTTTGTGAAAACAAGTTTATCCCCATCATAATAAAGGGACTTTAGGCTTTTTTAGAAATAAAAGCATGAGAGGGAGGATCCACAAGGTTTATGATTGACATAAATGATTATCAAGATTCTTATTACCTCATTAAAAGTTGTGATATGCCCCAACAGTAAAGCCAATCATCATCTCACACCAATATAATGCTGTTGATTCAAATCTTTTATTTTTCCCCGCGTAAATAGCGCACCAGCATCACTAATACAAAATGCAACAATTAAATCTTTCGCTGTAAGAAAATAACTAAAAAAAAGGATGAAAACTCAAAACTGGTTTGTAAAATATGTACCACACGCAATTTAACATGTCAGATTATTGGGCTTTAAGATCGACTTCTTCCTCGCTGGAGTCGTTCTAACGTTTACAATGGTTTTACTAATACTGGTGAAACCATTGTAACAATGGTTGTTATGCTCAGTGCTTTATTTTACTGTGTGAAATCTTTGTGAATTACCAGTGATACTTTTTACATTGGTAGAAAAGAATTGATTCATAATGAAATGTTTATGAAGAAGATTTCAAATTTGTGAAATCACGTTCTTACAATAATTTTTTTGCAATAATTTCAAGGTATTTTAGGTATTTTCACAACCATTGAAAAATCTTTTCATTTCACACAAATTTTACAATTGTGAATTAAATGTTTCTACCAGTGTTGGAAAAAAGTATTTAATTTTTATATAAATATTTATGGCATCTAATATAAAGGATGCAATGTAATAATTTCAAAACATTCTCGTAAATATATGTTTTAACAATCCTTCTAGACAGTGCTAATGGCAAAGACAAATACTAGATAATAATAATATAGACTAGTATTAAAATTAAAAGAGAAGGTATTATCTCCTTCATAGAAGTTTAGCGTTCGTTATATAAGGGCGCGTTATTATTATGGGGAGTGAACGAATAAATTTGTTGATCGACCAATAAAATTTTGAAGAGCTTCCGAGAGTAGACACACCCAAGGAACAGGAAACAGTATTTCTGGTTTTTTTTGTTGATAATTCTTCCTTGGCAAAATCAAATCATCTGTAATGAAATTATTGAAATAACATAAAAAGATATTCTTTCCAGCATCGACAATAACTTATAGGAATCTCAAGTGCCAAGACAAGAATATCTTTACAATAGATATTTGTCAAAGATGAATTTAACTTGTCAAAACCAGCATACAAGGCTACCGAGTTATTAGTGTCAATTATTAATCTATTGATTACTTAAATTATAAGTATAAATATTTATATCTAATTAAATACATGTACTATTTTTCCTTTTCATCAATGAATTCCATAAATTTCTTTAATTCTTCTTTGTCCATAGAATAACAATGTTCCTCGCCTGGAAATATACGATTTTTAACTTCTTCACGGTATGATATGCACGCATCAGTAATAATTTTATCAAGATTTGCATATTTTTTACTAAAACTAATGACAGATGTAAAAAAAAATATTAAATTTTTTTTTTTAAAAAAACTTTTTTTTTCTAATAAAACTCTCGTTACCTACCTAGGTGTAAATTTATCAAAAACACCCAACATATCTTGCTGTACCAAAACTTGACCACTTGTACCTCGACCTGCTCCAATTCCAATTGTTGGTATATTTAATTCTTTTGTTATAAATGTCCCAACTACTTCTGGAATGGCCTCAAGCACCATCGCAAAACATCCTGCATCTTGAATTGATTTAGCATCTTCCAATATTTTCTTTGCCTAATCACAATGAATGAACGAATTGATTGGTTAAATTAATTATTATTACTATGATGATGATGATGATGATGATGATGATTGTTACCAACCTTTTTAACTGTTTTTCCTTGAACTTTAAAACCTCCCAATGATGATTGGCGTTGTGGTGTTAAGCCCAAATGACCTAAAACAGGAATTCCAACACTAGTTATTTTACGAATGGTATCTGCCATTTCTGATCCACCTTCTAATTTCACTGCCTATATATATATGTATGTATGTATGCGCGTTAATAGTATAAAGATGAATAATTAAAAAATACATTATTATTATATATAATCTTACCTCCATGTTTCCTTCTTTGATTAGACGGATGGCATTTCTTAAAGCATACTCGGGACTAATTTCATAACTACCAAATGGCATATCACCAATCAAAAATGGTTTACTAATTCCTCTGCTAACTGCTTGACAATGATATAACATTTCCTTAAAAGGCAAAAGATTGTCATCAATAAAAAAAACAGAAAACCCATCAAAAAAAATTTTTTTTTTATTCTTACATCTAATGTGGTTGGATTGGTTGTTTTATAACCTAATGCCACCATTCCTAAAGAATCACCAACTAGACAAATATCAATTCCTGCCTTTTCGACAAATAATCCTGTAGGATAATCATATGCAGTTAACACAGTAATGGGTTTTTGATCTTGATAAAGTTTTCTTATATCATTTATTGTAACCTTAAATCGTACTACAAAGATTTATAAATTGAAAAACTTTTTCCCCAAAAAAAAAAAATATATTTAAAAAATTTTAATAGATAATGATAATATAATACTTTTATTAGTAGTAGTGTGGTCTTCTGATGGTCTTGAACTATAAAATTGTTTCTTTAATGGTGAAAATTTTATTATTTTTGTCAATGTTGATAATGACTTATTTAAAATATTACTATTGTTCCTTAACGTTAAAAAAGAAATTGCCATGACTTTTTTTTTTTTAAAAAAAAATTTCCCACACACATTTATATAAAACACTACCACCAATTCCAAACAGAACAACTTATTAGGAAAATCTTCAAATGACAAAATAAATATATAAAGGGTGGTGGATCTTTAAATATAATTATCAAATCATTTATATAAATATCTAAATTTCTTTATTATTATGATTGTAAATAGCATAAATCGTCTGGACAACCCATAATGTGAAAAACGCAATTTTGAGTTAATACTATTCCATCTGTAGAACATTTTTGCCCTAATAAATAATATCGTTCAAAAAAACAATGCCCAGGCCCAAAATAGCAAAGCTTTGTTATATTAACATTTATTGTAACCAGATGCATGACCCCTTGAAAAAAAAAAAGAAAGATGGATCATATTAATATTATTAATAGTCGGTCGTAAAAACATGATAGATTTACAACATAATTTTATAATTGAACTTTCGTTTGATACCCTTGTTATGTAGCAATCACCCTATAACATGCATCTTATTCAAGAAAAATTTTAAATGAGGTTAATAATCCGATCCTCAAAGTCAATTTTTGCTTATATATATAAAGGAATATTTCAAATTCTGAACTTGATCACTTTTTTTAGAACCTGAGCCTGAACTTGTAATAGTAATGACAATAACAATGATAACAATAATAGTAAGTTATAATATACACAAAAATCATTTGACATAACATAATAAATTATAACAATAAAATTTTTTATTAAATATAAAATTAACTTCTCTCATTCTAAATTCTAATACTATATGATGAGTATTGAAATATAAAAAAATTACTATTTACCTAAAATATCTACCAAAATACTATTTCTGGAGATTCTGAATATGCTGTTTAATAAATTACTATGTTGTTTTTTATGCAAACCAACATATATATCTCTTTATATCAATATCTGGAGATTATTTATATATATATAGGAGTTTAAGCCAACGATTATTGAAATTTTCATGCTTTGATCATTAATTATTATTATTATTATTATTAATTTATCGATTCCTATATATGGATTCATGAATTAAGATAAATATCTTTTAATCATTATATTATTATTGTTTTCCTAAATAATAATAATATAAAACATCAAACACATTAATAAATACTTTACCTTGTTAGATTATATAAACTTGGTTTTTTCATTTAAAACTTATTAACCAACTCCTCATAAAGCAACAATCATATGAATATTGGAGTATTTTACATCTTCTTGGCTACCTATCAAGCATTTTAATGCAATATTGAAACAAATCTCAAGTTTGAAGTGAAAAAACAACACCATTTTCGATTTATGCAAAGGATATGAAAAAGTATTTATTCGAATTTTAACAAAAATTTTAGCCAATGAAATCAAACGCCAATATGTTCCCGTTTAATATAATTAATATTAAAACCAGTTTTATTTATTTGAAAAAAATTTTTAAAAGTCAAATTTTTTATAATCCGATAAAAAAATTTAAAACATGCCAACTGACACACGCTCTAACCAAACAACCAGTAGTAGTGGTGCCGCTAACACTGCAGACAATATAGATCCTGAACTTTTAGCACAATTAAACAATAAAAAGAAAATGGTGACTACTAATTCAAAATATAAAATTAAAATTTCCTTTTTTATAATCTAACAAGGTATACTAAAAAAACATAAATTTTAAAGCTTGTTGATGCCTTCACTCAAGTCTCCACTGCTCTTAGAAATGCAGCAAAAGCTTGTGACGAGTTTCAGTTACTTGTTCCAAGGGATGTAGGAATTATTCCTGGTGATGTGGCGATTGGTGGTGGTGGTAGTAGTAGCAGTACTACTGGTTTTCATCATCATATACACCACCACCACGGACAATCTACTGGAAATCATGCAAGAAAATTTAAAAAAAACCAAGTAAAAGATCCTAATGCTCCAAAAAGACCCAACACTGCGTATATTTTATTTAGCAATGAGATTCGTCCAGAAACTAAGCTTGCTAATCCAAAAGCTAACCAAAAAGAAATTGTCACCCTAATTGGACAAAAATGGAAAGCGCTTTCCAGGGAGCAAAAAAAGGTGTATATTACATTCATCTGTTTATATTTACATTATATACATTTATATTTATATTTATATTGTGTACGTATAGTATATATATTTATTTATTTTTATTTATACAAGGTTTATGAAGATCGTTATTTTGCTGATAAAGAGAAATATGACGAAGAACTTCGTGCATATAGAGCAACACATGGTCATGTTGAATCACCAATTTCAACATCATCAAACGAAGACAATGGTGAAAGTTCAAGCAATCTTAATAATAAACAAGAAAAGAAAAGTTCTTCTTCCACTCCAATTTCAGCACAACAAATAATGTCTACCTCTGTCATTGGAGGAGGAACTTCCGAAACAAATACAAGCACTACTAATCCCTCTCAAATATTAGATCCTCAATTATATTCAATGCAAGAGGTAGTACCAGTTGATAAAACAACAGCTTCTTCAAATATGCTAGAAGTTTCTTCCGCAAATATCCCTGGGAATAACAATAATTCAAAAAAGCGAACATTATCTGAAAGTAACAATGATGATTATTCAGATGAAAGTGAAACAATAAATGGGGAGAATGCGTCAACTTCAAAAAGAACTCGTGGTGGCGGTGATGCTAGAAAAGCTCAAGAAGATGTCTTTAGTCCTCCAGATGACAATGTAGAAGCAATTGAGGAACAGGATGACTCTCTAACCAGAAGACAAAGGTCTAAACGTGGTGGTGGTGGCAACAGTGATCCTACAAATGGAACCAAAACTACACAAATAATCACTGCACCAAAACCTACTAATACTCGCAGTAGACGTACTGCTAAATCTTAAAACTTTGTTACTTTATCAATAAATAAATTCTTTTTAAAATAATTTCACGTATATTTTATATAAACATATATGTATATATATATGTATATATATATTTGGACTTTATATATAGACATAATTTTTCACAAAGCTAGAAAATCAATACATAATTTTAATAATAACAATAGCAACAATAGTAGTAATCATTTTATAAGGGATAGTAATTAATAATGATATATAAATATACAATACATCAAAGGAGAGCAAGTTCTAATCTAGATAAAATCGTCATTATTATTATTGCTAATATTATTGCTAATATTAGTATTAGTATTCATATAATTTATTTCAATTTTTCATGATAAAATTAAAAAATAAATAGAGTCATTTTCATTTTAGATTTTTTTTTGATATTCCATTATTTATTTATTTATAGATAAATAAATAAATAAATGATTAATTATAGAGTTTTTTAAAAAAGAAATACATATATTTTTTTTTGTTTAAGAGCTATTTTTATTTTTATTCTTCTTAAGATCCATTTTATATTATACTTCCAATAATAACAATAAGACACATTTTATTACTACTAGAAAATAAATCATTTACATGCCCAAATTTTTAAATTTACTTATTCATTGTTCTTGTTGAAATATATCTTTATTTTTCTGCAAGTATAAAGGAACATTCTTTGTTGAATTTATTTATTTTTCATTAATTAATGATTTTTTAATTCGTTTTTATTTCACAAATTTTATAACTTCAATTGGAAAAAAATAAATTAAAAAGGTTATCTGTTGTGATGAACCTTGATTCTTAATAATCTTGCGTCTATCAATAATGATGATATGATTTTCAAAGTAGCAAGGAAAATACTTTCTGTAATGGTGCTTTTTAAACAATTCGTTAATGAAATATTTTTTTTGAAATAACTAATTACTTGCATTCTTTTCACCTGGTTCAAGACAGAGAATTTTGGTCATTAATTTCTAATTCAACTCTTATAATGAATAATTTCATTTTAATTATTTGATTCAATGAAATTTCGCACGCAACGTTTAGATTTACGCGATACTTTTTGATTGTTGAATCATTCATTATTTAGTAACTTTCACATCATCAGCCAATCCAGTGATGTCTTTTAACCCATCTGCTGGAGATTGATCGTTTTTTTTGTAATTTTACAGGAAGAAATTATTTTTTTTGCCAAACCTTGAGAAAGTTGAATTCTTTCTTCAGCTTTTTTTTTTCTCCCCACGCTCAATTATTAAACCACCACCGTAGTAGAAACTTTAAATTCGTAGAAATAAGTAACATTCCAGGTTCTGCGTCCTAAACCATGTCAATATATCTTACCACTATTGTCACCTATATTTAATTATTATTAGAATGATGAGTCATGAATTTATAATCATAACTGTCACTGCTGTTATACAATCTTTTATTTCTCTGAAAAAAAAAAGTTCATTTGTCTATTGTTGTGTTGTGATTGATTTTAACTTCTTCTAACAATTATTCAACTTTAATATTTAGATTATTATGATTATCATTCGTTGGATCTTTATAATTATGTGTGAGTTTGTTATAATTGTCTAATGGTATTTTATTACAATTTTCTAATGTAAATGTTTTTGATAACTGAAAAATTTTCATATTCTCAAGATTATGAAAATATCATAGAAACTTACCCACTTACCAACTAGAAACTACAAACAATGCAGTTCTTTTCAAAAGAATATCAAGAAACTAGTGGATAATTAAACAAAACTTGGATCCAAAAGAAGCAAAGATTTAGGTGAAGAGTTCGTAAATCAAGATTAGATCATTCAACGATCGAAAGAAACAGGAATTAAAGGAACTCAAAAGGATATCGGCTCGAATGTTCATCTTTTATTAAGAGAAAAGAAAAAACTACAAGAGAAAAGCTATGGAGCACTGTTAGAAATTCATACCCAATCCACAATCCAAAAAGATCCAAAACTAGACAGACTTATGGGGCCTGGACAATAAATTGTGCTCTTTCATTTTTCTATTGTCCAGGCCAAGTTTTTGTATTTTGCATTGTTATACTGTTTCACTATTTTCATTGTTTCCGGTTCATTTGGTTCTTTTGATACTCTTTGTAAGAGTTGATTCCCTATAATTTTTCCAATAATTACTACGGCAGAAAAATAATTTACAGCCAATCATCATTATTTTGATTTCCAAAAATTTTTTTGAAATCTTTTTCTTTTAAAAAAAAATTAGAAAATTTAAAGGTGATTGTTAAATATGGTGAGATACTCCATTACTCCATCCAACATCGACAAGAGTATGTGCTTTTAATTATATATATGTATCATTGTAGGAAATGGCTCTTTTTATAATCGGTTGGATTAAATTAAATTGAATTAAATTTTCTTGATATAGCTGTTAAAACTCGTGGTTCTTATTTGCGTGTTCACTTTAAAAACACTCGAGAAACTGCAAAAGCAATTTCTGGTAGAAAATTACTTAATGCAATTAGATATTTGGAAGACGTAAAAGAACATAAACAAGCTGTTCCTTTTAGAGGGTTTAATGGTGGTGTCGGCCGTTGTGCTCAAGTTAAAGCTTTTGGTGCCACTCAAGGTTGAATTAGTGGAATTGTTATTTTGATTTTTATTCATCTTCAATATTTTGATATATTCAAGTGAATAACAATGTAATGTTTTATTATTTATAGGACGTTGGCCACAAAAAAGTGCCGAATTTTTACTTGGGCTTTTGAGAAATGCACAAAGCAATGCAGAGGTTAGTACGCTGATTTGATCAATTAACATCTTAATTTAATTGATGGTTTAGTCAAACGTTTATTATTTATTATTATTATTATCATTTGTTTAGATTAAACAATTAGATATTGATAACTTAGTTATTACTCATATTCAAGTAAACCAAGCTCCCAAACAAAGACGAAGAACTTATAGAGCTCATGGCGTAAGTGATCGCTTATATATATTGTTATTACCATTACTATTTATCACTACTATTATTACTATCTAAAATTATTCGATGTTTTATAAAAAATATTATAATTATTTAGCGTATAAATCCTTATATGAGTAATCCATGTCATATTGAAATTATTGTTACAGAAAAAGCTGCTCAAGTAAAACGTGAAGTAGCACTTCAATAAAATAAAACTTATGATAGAATCATTATTTTATTAAATAAAATTAATCGTTAATAAACTTTTTAATGATAAAAATAAAAAACATTTTCTTTATTTTCTTTGTTTAAAACGTTTTGATAAAGCAACAGTGTAGTTAATGCCTTGGTAAAAAGCAAGAATTGTGGAGCTTTGGTAAAAAGCCACGTTTATTTGCTTTAGTGAGCAAGCAAGCAAGGTTAGAACTAATGTGGGTTAACTAGTAAGTGTTAACAATGATTAGTAACGTAATTTGCTTTGGTGAGTAAGTAAAGGTTTGAACTCATAGATTTGTCTAGGTGTAGTAATCGAGAACCAAAGTAGATTCGTAAACTAATTAACCGACAAGCACCGAATTAACTAACAAGGGTAGCCCAAAAGTTAAACCATAATTGTTAATTAACCGAAATGATACTTCACAATATTACCATTTAACAAGAATCAAAAAATTCCAAGAAATTTATTATTTCAAACATTATTATAAGAAACAATATATAAGGATAAAATAAAAAGATAAATAAAAAAAGATAATAATAAATTTATAGTGGAGATTAAATTAGTCATTCATCACATCTTTTTCTTACTAGAATCTAATGTTTATTAATTAATTAATGGATAGTGTTAGTAATAATTAATGGATAGTAATTCCAATTGATTAATAATGAAATTTTTATTCACCTTTGTTAATGTTCTAGAGAAAAAGAGTCAAAACCAACAAACTATCATTACTTGTATAAATTTTAATTAGAATTGCTATTTCTCACCGGTGGTGATTGTCACCACCTAAGGAATTAAATTTGCGTGGGGCGGAGTTAGGGTTGGGGTTAATCATAAATTGTATAATTCCTTAGGTGGTGACAATCACCACCGGTGAGAAATAGCAATTCCCAATTTTAATTGGTGGTCCGCCGATCAACGATGGAAATTTGTTATCCGGATCCGCTTATTAAATATCAAAAATTAATTATTTTTATCATTTTACTTATAATAAAATGTCCATTTCATTCTCATTTTTAGAAAATTTTAATAAATTATTTAATGAATTTACTAAAGCTAATAACGATGACATTTTATTTATAAAATATATTAGTGAATTTGTGAATGATTTTGCAAAATTATTGAATGGATCAAATTTCTATGATGTAGAGATAATGGTAGGAGTAGATCAAGATGTCAAGACTTTTAATGCACATTCTGTTATATTGAAAACAAGGTCTTCTTATTTTAATACTGCTCTATCAAACAATTGGGTAAAAAAGTCTAATAATGGTGTTATAATATTTGAGAAGAAAAACATTTTTCCAAAAATATTTGAAATCATTTTAAAGTAAGTTTTTATTGCAAATCAATTATGTAAATAATAGATTGATTGATCGATTTATCAATGTTCGTTTCTTTTTAAAGATATATTTATAGCGGGATCCTTGAAATTAGTAATCTTTGTCCCAATGAAATCGTTAAACTTCTTGAAGCATGTGACGAATTGTGTTTTATTGAATTACTTGATGACTTGCAAAAATATTTAATTGACAAACATGACAAATGGATTCAACAAAATTTAGTCTATGTATTTAAAATTTCATCAAAATATATTCAATTTATCACACTTCAAGAATATTGTAATGAGCTGATCACCCATAGTCCAGAATCATTTTTCAAATCTGATGAGTTCAAGACAATCAAAAAACCTACACTTGTATCAATATTAAAACGAGATAATTTAATTTTTAAAGAAATAGAAATTTGGGATTGTGTCATCCGGTGGGGAATTGAACAAAATATTGAACTATTACAGAAGGATGTTGAAGAATGGTGTGATTCTGATTATGAAATATTAAAGAATATATTGGATGATATTACACCATTAATCAGATACATTGACATTTCTTCAAAAGACTTTTATAGTAAAGTCAAACCATTTAAAAAAATCTTTAACGAGGATTTATTTGATGAAATTCTTCAATATCACTTGAGTGATGAGTGGGAATCAAAATTATTAATAAAGGAGAAAAGAAGAGAAGGAAAATTATTGAATTCAAAAATTGAATGTTTTATTTCAAGCTGGATTGATGGTCAAAGTAATAATGTTTATGCTAAAAATAGTCTACTACCATATGAATTCAAGTTACTTCTCAATGGAAATCGTGATGGTTTTTCAAGATCGACGTTCCAAAAAAGATGTTATAATATTGAACACACTGTGATTTTAATGAAAATTGACAATTCACATAAATTAGTCGGTGGTTATAATCCCGTCTGTTGGAATTCAAATGAAAGACAATCAGAAGAAGAAAGTTATTTTATCAAAACTGACAAAAGCTTTATTTTTAAATTTGAAAATCCATTGGAAGATCCAATAATAAGCAGAGTTACCTTGCCTCTTTGTGCAATATATAATAGAAGCAGATGTAGCATTAATGTATATAACATAAAAATGATTGAAGAGCCACTGAGTTTTGTGGATTTACGTCTATATAATAGCACCAAGAACAATCCTTATTGTTTTTATCAAAAATTTGAACATTCTTCATATGGTGATAATTTGAATCTTCACAACATAATTCATTTATTAGAAGAATATGAAGTCTATAAAATATCGAAAAAATAGATAAATCCATTCATCTATTTATTCATCTATTTATTTGTTTATTTAATGAGACTTTTTTTTTCTTGAATATTATACAATAAAAAATTATTAGTTATCTAGTTACTTACATATACAAATTTTTGAAAATTGGCCTTTTTTTTTCAATAACGAAATCGCAAGAACATTACCAAAGAGTATTTATTTATTAGAATTCTTTAATATATATTCTAATACAAATCAGGCATTCTTAAGATTTCTTTTCCTTTATTTTTTACATGCATCCTCAATTTTTTAAATACCTCGCTATTGATCCATCGTTCAGGTACAGGCTTCTGATCAATTGCAAAATAGTAAATATCCCAATCCGGTATATTCAATAATTCATCATACTCATTCAATTCTTGTTCTGTACATTCATTTAAATACTTTTTTGCAAATGTTGATAATAATAAATCTGTTTCTAATATTCCTCTTTTACGAGATTGATAGATTAATCTTGCTCTTTTTTTATCAATATGTTCGTTATACGGTGTTGTTGGACGTAAGCTTTCGTAGGGAACGTTTGGATGTAATGAAGAAGGATCGTATTGTATTTTTATAGTAGAAGAGGTAGCAGTTGTAGGATTGTTCTTGTTGTTGTTGTTGTTGTTATTGCTATTTATTGATGATGAATTTTTTATAAAAATGGAATAACAATTTGAATAATTTTTAATTTTTGTTGGTGGTGCATTAATAATTCTTCTGTTAACCCTTTGAATGTTTCTTAAAGTTGTGGAAATCATATTTTCAAAAGAAATTTTTACCCATTATATGTGGCGTAATCGGATTAGATTTTCCTATATTAATATTAATATTAATATGGGCGTACCAAAAATTTTAGGATAATAAGGTTTTTGCATGTCACTAGATACATTTTTAGTGACCATTAAAGGTGGGGAAGAATGTAAACTAGTTACGGGAAATCAATAAATAAATCAGAAATGATTGTATTATTGTATTAACATTATATCAACATTATTTATTATTGACTTCAAATAAATTATTATCTTGCAAGACTTGGACATGATTTCACTGCAAAAATGAAAATTTAGTTGGTTTTTTTTCCACGAGATTTTTAGGAATTCTCTATCATTAAAAAAAAATCAATATATAGTTTTTTTTTCTAAATTTAGGAAACCTATAACTGTTTCTTTCGATCAATAAACGATATTGTAAGGAAAAGGAAAAAAAAAGATAATTGAGATTTTGGTAGTTAACAGAGATTAAATTAGTTATTATCTGTTGCTGAATGATGCGTTCAAGAACAATTCTTCAATTTAACAAATTTTTTTGGCATAGTTGGAAATTTGTTGTGCCATCTGCGCACAAAAATGATCGGTAAATTTTTTAAGTTCACGCTTTATGCTCTTGGGGTTAAACTTTAAATTTGTAGCTGTTCTTTGTGGTTTTTGCCTTACTTGTAAATGGTCTCTCATAAAGGTTAAACTTCGCCATCCTGCCACGAATGACGTTAAAAGTCGGGTGGTTTGCTAAAAGCAAAACCAAAAAAAGTCATCCGAGAAATTTTAATATATAATTTACTGGTGAGCATTTAAGTGTTATATGTCACAATTAATAATTACCCTATAAAAAATTTTTTAAGAAAATGTATTAGTATGGTTTTTCCATACATTTTCCGTGCATTTTGTACGGAATATGTACGGAATTATACATGAAAAGAGCGCTTATTTGTCTTGAAAATGACTTGAAAATACATTCCGTACATTCTCCTATGCATTTTCCGTGAATTTGTATGGACGTTAAGCACGGAAAATGTACAGAAAATGTGTAAATAATGTGGATGGTGTTGTTGTAGCAGGAAGGTATGGGTACACTGCAACATTGATCAAGAATAAAATGTTTTTCAGCTGAACAAAAAAGACACAGAATTATCAAATAGAATGAAATATGCACGCTATTTTACTCATTTTAATTAAAGAAGTCACAATATCTTTCACTTAGCAACTATTTATGTTCGCACCAGGTTTCTGTTCATGATACAAGTTTAAAAGGATTTTTTTTTTGTTGATTTATTGATTCATTATTAAAAATGTAATTACGAAACAAATTCGACTAGATTTAGGGTTAGAATAAAAAAAATTTTATTTATTTGACTTGATATACGATTCAGATGCAAGTATTTTTTTTTTACTTTTTTATTTTGCCTTATAAATCAACAATTTATTTCTTATTATTATGTTTATCAAGCACGCACGAATAAGTAAATGCCCATTTTGAAAATAACCTGGCATCCGTCTAGGCTTTATTTATTCTTGGGTTTAACATTGCATAGCTGAAATTGACTTTTTTAAAAATAATTTCGGAAAACAATTTCGGATCTTTATATTAATCAAAAGTAAAAGGTTTGGATAATTTCCACGTTTCGGATTCGGAAACTGATCATTCATTAACATTAATATTAAAAGAAGCAATTTCGACTAACAACCAATGTACCATGAGAAAGTTATTGTCAAGTAAATTATACTCAATGAGTCATTGTTTTATTAGCATATAAAAAAATGTATCTATAGATCAAAGACTAGTAAATATGCTATTATACTTTGTTAAATATTTTTACTCATAATCGATAATTGATATCATATTGCGGACAAATAAAAAAGATAACTAACGAACGATGTGCTGTTTTTTTTTTCGGTGTCGGGTGACAGTCAGGAATCTCAATATCTATATTTTTTACTTTTATTTTTCCAGTGTTGCATATTATCATCACTTTTTGATTATCTATAATTTTCATTGTTTCAATGATTTCAAGCTATGGAAGAATAATAAAAATTAGTATCTTTGAAACGAGGAAAAGAAATCCAAGACAATAAGGTTGAATCCTACCTTAACATATATTATAGATATAACATTATTTAATATTTTGGGAAAATTTTTTATATCAGTGTAAACTTCACATGGCTTTTCTATCATATATCTGCATACGTATCCACCTGGACAACCAAGATTAGTTTTTATCATTACAGCACCTGTAAAAATATTGAACGTTAAGCGAGTCTAAATGAGTCTTGTCGTATAATGTACAATCACCATACAAACCTGAATGGATAAACCCTGGAACATTTACTTGTATGGTATGGATTGCAAGTTCATGATGAGATAGTCACTAAAGTGCATAATTTATGAAGGAGGTCGTAATTCTATAATCTTATGGAGGATTTTAACAGATATTTCAATTACAATTAATTGAATTATGGTGCTACAACTTGATATAGAGATCAGGCAGAACTCCAGCTATTTGATGCAAACAATTTAAAGTACAAACAAATATGAAGAGAATAGATAGTAGTGGTGTTTAAAATAGCCTTAATTGTTGGAACAAATTATTTGTTTTTTTAAAAAAAAAATTTTCATTTTTATAAAAATAGATCACCAATAAAACTATAAAACTGCGGTTAAGCTTGGGTTTGAACCGCGGTGGTAAACCGCTGGTCGGTGCGGTTCACTAGTCAAACTGGCAGTTTATAAACTGAACCGAACCGAACTGAACTGTTCCCATTCCTACTATATTCAGACAACAGTTAGATAAACTTCACAAAGATTGAGGTTTATTCATGACCAAAAGATTCTTACTGTCGTGTGAATAATTCTCTGTCTTTGAATGTGAATTCATCATCATCAATTTCAGTGTTTGATATCGTAATAGCCTCTCCATTTCTTTGTTAATCTTCCTCATCCTGTTCTTCTAATGAATCAGACAATATTTCACCCATCAATGATGTACTTGAAAGAGATGGCTATACACACATCAAAAAGGTTCATACAAGTTATTTAAAACTAAACATCAATGTAAATATAGTTACCTCAATACTAGGAAACATTGGTGGGTAAAATTGATTTTCGGGAGTTTTTTGCACACTACAGTTGACTCTGTTTATACCGAACCCCCTGTTCCGAGAATTTTTGTTCGTTATAGCCAGAGTTCGTTATAGCCAGCTAGATGTGTCACGTGATGGTAACATATATAATAAATAATTTAATTCAATGGCCGTTTTATTATATTTATTGATCAGAAAGCTTATTTATAAGAATTATTTTTAAATATGAAATTATAAAACATTCTTTTACAAACAGACTTTACTATCAAATATAAATAAAATGTAGATATAAATATAACTATCAAATATAAATAAATGTGCTCTTTCAAGTAGTGGCCACTTAGGTCCACGAAATTTTTTCAAATTATCTTGTTCAATTGTAATAGCAAGCCAACG